GTAACTTATGACAAAACAATAATGATTTGTGAATTATGGAGGGTTCATGAGGGAGTGGGAAAATAGGCAGCTGATATCAGGGGCTAGAGTAGAAGGCAAATGTTTTGAGAATGATGACGGCAGCGAATGTACATATGTGTTTGGCACAATGGATGTATGTATGGATTGTGATAAGAATTGTACGAGTCCCCAATAAAATAATTCTGAACGGGGGGGGGGGACGCTCAATGTCATTAGCGATCAGAGAAATGCATATCAAAACTACATATGAGGTATATTTCACCCTTACCTGGATGGTTAGCAAGGAGCTCTGATGTAGTGGTTATACATTCAGCTGCCAACCTCAAGGTCAGCAATTCAAAACCACCAGCCAGTTCAAGGGAGAAAGATAATGCTCTCTACACCCACAGAGAGTTACAGTCTACCCTGACAGTTCTATCCTGACCTATAGGGTAGTTCTGAGTAAGAATCCACTCGACGGTATTGAGTTTAGCTTGAAAATAGTTAACATAAAACAAGGAAAAATAATATGCTGAGAGGATATGGAGAAATCGAAACCCTCATGTACTGCTGGGGAAAATGCAAAATGGTGTAATTGCTGTTGGGACAAAAAACTGGTGGCTCCTCAAAAAGCTTGAAGTAGAGCAGCTATATGACCCACCAATTTCACTCCTAAGTATGTACCCTAAGAGCCTAATAGAAGCGACACAGCCACACATATGCACACCATGTTGACTGCTACACTAGATACAAAAGCAAAATGATGGAAATTGCCTAACTGCCCATCAGTAGATATGCACCATATATATGTAATGAAATGCTACTTAGCAATAAAGGAAAAAATGAGCTCGTGAAAGACGCACAAGTAGATAAAGCAGGAGTATATTATTTTGGTGACGTGAACCAGTCACAAAAAGGCAAATGTCTTATATTCTCACTTTTGTGAAATGACTTGCAGAAGTAACTACAGAAAGTAATGCTCACTAGTGTTTCCAGGAATGGGGGTGGGGAGCGGGGCGTGCTACTCTCTTGGTAGTAGTCACATTTTGTTGACAGTAAAAGGAAATACACCACTGAATATGGGTGAATTTTATAGAGCATAACTAATGTAATTGATATCAATAAGCTGTACCTAGGGAAAAGGGATGAAGGGGCAAGTGTTAGGCTATGAATGGTTTTACAAACAAGAAGCGTCACAAAAATGTGGGGAGAGGTGTTACAGATGCCAATACTAGACAGACATGACCAATCTCCTCATGGGATTAGTTCTCTTGATTTGGGGGGGGGAAGAGTCAGGTCATGGTGTCATGGAACAATCCAGGAAGTTGGTATAATAGACTACTTGAAGTTTATGGTCAATATCCCAGTATAATGAGCTGTGTCTGGAGTCTTACAAGTGGCCATCTAAGATACAACAACTGGTCTCGACTCAATGAAAACAAAGGAGAAAGAAGAAACCCTAGAATGATAAAAAAAACTGGATTATAGAACTATCTCCATAACTCACGGCCTCTACTTTAAGACTAGAATTAGATGGTGCTTGACTATTACTACTAATCATTACCATCAAAATTACAATAGATGAGTCCTGACAGAGAGAGAAAACTGGATCACAATTTCATATTCTTAAAGGATTCATCTGCACCTATTGAGGCTAAAGAGTCCACAGCTCTGAGTTGCTCATCAAATCTTGAAAATACCCTCCTTAAATGACCTTTAAGCTAATGACAGTTTAGTTCAAAGAGTAAAGATGTCTTTGACATTGCATTAAAAAAAAAATACAAGACTATGGTCAACAACTATTTTTTTAAAAGATGGAGAGTAGAAGGGAGAATAGGAAGTTTAAGCAAACTGAAATTAAACAAATAGAACAGAAATACCAAGAATGTTAATACACACAGAAAATATAACTAATGTTACTCATCACTATGTCTAGAAATTATAGATTGGGGGTGGTGGTGGTGAAGTTTTACTGTATATTTTCACCTAAAATAAATTTCAAAAGATGAAAGAAGTGTCAA